CATCTATGCCGAAAGCGCCGTTTCCAAACAGCCTGACTCCCGAACACGTGCCATGTTGCAGGACTGGGTCCACTCAGCACATAGCCTACACAGCCAGAGTTTCCCTCTAGTCAAACTGAAGAGTGGTAATCTATCTAACATTAAAGAGCAAGACAAAAAGCAAAGAAGCCTGACAAACAAAGCCAAACCAAAACAGAATTCTTCCATCTCTTTCATACCATAAAATCAGAAGATCTTCAGAAGTTGAATTTACTGCATCATAATTCATACAGCCAACTTCAGTATTTGTTTATTGGCTGTTCCTAAATTTTGTTTTCTTGTTTTACTTTAAATAAGGTCCTACCACCAGGTAACATTGTAGCATAATGTTAATTTTGCTGTTGAAAGAATAAAGGGGGACAACCAGAAAAAACACATTTCCTGCTGAAAAAATTTGTTTGTGTAACAAACTGTGTTTTGAGATAAAATTGATGCAACCAGTTTATCTTGAAAGGTGCATCCTTAGCCTTTGGACCACTAATGGTACCACCATGTTTCTGTAATGACTTCATGACACTAACACAAGCTGTTTACAACACACGACTGCATCCACAGCATCTGTTTTCAAAGCACAACTCTGATTCAAGCCCATCCACACCTGCTACGGTGTCTGGCTCTGTTTCTATGGGTATAGTCTTGAAGAAACCAGACAGCTATTCCATAATGCCTTAGCAGAGTTAAAAGGGCTTGAGGATACGCACCCAGGATAATGTCAGTAGGATCTGGGACAATACACTTTGGGTTGTCCTTCAGCAGAGAGAAAAAGAATACAGGCTGTATTCCTGCCACTTACACAAAAGCGGAGTTTATGTTAATGCCCAGATACTTCAAAAAAAAAAAAAAATAAAAAAGAAAAAAGAAAAAAGAAAAAAGAAAAAGAAAAAAAAAAAGAAAAAAAGAAAAAGGAAGGACTGGCTGCACAAGGAAGATAGGGACTGAGAGCCAGCAGTCTGAGACCATACAAAGAGGTGCAGGAGCAATGCCCCAGGGCAAATTGAAAAGCCAGTTCATTCTTGTGCAGCATTTATGCCCGCAGTTTGGAGGTGTTCTCCTGAGAAGGATGTCAAGAAGAGCCAAGAAGTAGTCATGAGGAGCAGCACTGAAGGCAGGCGAATGAAGGGTGCCTTTCCTTGGACTGGCATTTCCTGCTTAGACTCCTGACACCCACCAGTGCCCCAACGCTGACGGCCCTTTCCCCACAGCCGGCGTCTTCGTGAAGCCTCTTACAGGCAGATCCTCTTGCTTTTAGCAGTAAGGGCTGACCTCACGTGGCAGCTGGACCAGCCTGGTAACAGGATCCTCTCCCTCCTACCTGCCTGTCTGCATTCATGAAGCTGTGGACTTTGTAACTGAGATCTCTGCCCTACCTGAAGTCTGCTATCAACACAAAGGGTCCTGAAGTTATTAACAGTGGGTGGTTAGTGA